TAAAGCAATATATAGTAATCTGTAAAAAGAGCAATGGGAACCTTCTCGATGTGCCATAGAGACTCACACTGAGTTGTCTGGATGCCTATGGATACAAGAGCTTTTCCAGAAGGCAAACCACTGAAAACACACCAAGGAGCCAGTACAACCTGCTGTAGCTAGAAGGGAGTTAGATTTCACTCGAGGAAGTTGGTTTCTGGTGCAATCACTGATGAAAAAGGAGAGCTACCATGGTCTTCTGAGCTCTGACCAGAATCTCCCATACAGTATAACTTAAGGCAAAGATTTCTATTCTGGACATGCAAGGTTGAGTTAAAATAATATGTGCTGCAATGAATACCTGATTATAACTAGTACCATTATTCCAACTGGGAAATAAGTTGGACTGGAGACAATGAAAATATACGACTGGAGTTCCATGGAGACAGAAAGATCATTATGGGTGTATGACCTTCAAATGTACAACAATAGATGTTGGTAGCAAGACACAAGTACACTACTAAAGAGACCAATCAGTCCAAGAGTAAAAGCATGAGAAACTACATTTCCATCCTCCAACCTGCAAATAGTTCAACCTGAAGCCTTTCATTGACCCCAATTGGAAGAGTTTTTTCAAATACTCTAAGTTTTCTTCAATGTAGACATCACATTCCAGTTCCTTTCCAGGGCTCCAAACATCCTGCATTTGATCTAAAATCATCTTCACTTCAAGAGATATTGCCTTTTCCAAAGTTCTTGGCTTTTGGATGTTAATCTTTTCGGCAACCAAGTTCTCCTCTGTTCTCCCTTTGCAGGCCACAACTTTACTGAAGCTTCCTTTCTGACCAAACTCAAAATGTTTTAAATCATTCTGCTAACCCTAAAAGCCCCCAACAGTAGCCATGCCACCTGCTCAACATTAGACTGTCTTGATTTCTTTTTCTGCAAGATTAATTAGTCTGCCGTCCTTAATATCAGTCTCAGGCAAAGTCTCTGGACACAAGCAAAACGCAGGCAAAATTTCTGCTAAGCCATAACACACATGGTCTGGAAACCAACAGCCAAAGCAGTCCTTCTTCCCAGCAGAAACCTCCTGAGCTTGGTCTTTACCAGCTCTCTGGTCTTCTGAGCTCTGACTAGAATCTCCCATACAGAGCAGCCTAAGGCATCCCAGCTCTACTTCTTAAGCCAGCATCTCTGAGTCTTACTTAACTCTTCTCCTTTCCACAAGCCAGTTCCAAAGGCTCTTGAACCACATGACCAGGTAATGTCATAGCAACAACCCCACTTCTCTGTTACCAAATTCTGTGCTTGTTACTTTTCTCTCATTGCTGAGATAAAATACCTAACCCTGAAAGTTAAAGGGGAAAGGGCTTATTTAGCTCACAGTTTGTAGAGGTTTCAGTCCATAATCGTCTGGCTCCAAGGCAGGGTGGCACATGGCAGAGAGGAATCGAAGAGGAGAAACAGTCCATTAGCAGGCACCCACGGGGTAGCAGGGACCTTAACAGCATCTTCCTGCCCCTTTAATCTTATGCAGACTACTTAGGGTGGGTAGCATTCTCACTCTTAATCCTAGTCCTCTCTGGCCTAGCATTGCACCATACATCACACACTCTAGATTCAACTGCCTCCAAAATAGCCCCATCTAAAACCACATGAGGCTTTGGGGGGACATCTAAACACAAGCCATGACAGTGGATTAATCACATTACTAATGGTGTGTTCAGCAATGTTTATTACGGAAGATTACAGAACTGGGACATCCTGCCCCCTGGGAGCAGGGTAGGGGGTTCCAATAATTCTCCTGGAAAACTTAAAGCAGAGCTAACATATACCTGAATAGATGCTTTGCCACTTTCAAATTATTCATTTAATGAGCCACGATCCTGGACAAATGTCTGCTCCAAAGCTCTCATGCTCATTAGATGCACCAAGTTGTGCTTCACCTGAAGCCCTTCACCTGCCATTCTGCACCCACCATCTGGTACAGACCTGGATTTCCACCCTCATTATTCCTTACTCCCACTTTCCCTATAATAAAATAGTAAAGGCTTAAGTACATTTTAAATGGTACTTTGCAAGTTTGCGTAAACTCTTTTGGGGAAACTTCTCAACTCTGCCTGTCCAAACCCCAACTCAAATACTGTTTCTTCCTTAGAAACCTACCCACTGGCCATAAATCCCTCTTTACTCAGTGAAACCACAGCATTAGCTTTCTTCTTTTCACACCACTTATCTTTCTTTCTTTTTTGCCTCATGTTGTGGCGATTTGTTTACACATTTTCTATCCCGGGTAAAAGTCCCTTTGGGGAAAGGTCACTACTCTTCATCCCTAAATCCTCAGGCTTAAGATTTATACAGCATAAAATATACAAGGGTGATTATTATGTTAGTGAATGCATGGTAGAAAACGTAGCATTGGCCTAGTTTCCAAGATGTCAGCAATCTGTTTTATATTCTTTGACACACAGAGCATTGTGTTGCTACCCATGTGCTATCAGATATCATACTTTCCTTTTTGCTACACAACTGATCTCTCAAGTAAAGGACATTACTCTGCAAGTGTTGTCCTTCCTCTCTATTCTCTTATAGTGACCTAGAGATTACTCTGGGAGACTATTGGGGTCCCTAAATCTTTAGCTTTCAAATCACTGAGTCTTGATATCTAGCTCAAGAAAATATTCTGGGCACATATCAGGGCCACTGGTTTATTCTGCAGAAATCATCACATGTCCTCCTACCTCCTAAGTAATGAAAGGTTAGGGTCAAAGAATTAACTTCACCTCCTCCCTGATGACATTGATCTGGCAGGCTTTGAATGAAAATGGTTTAAGGGAACTCAAACACCTTAGAGACTGGAGTAGCTCAGTAGGGAAAAATTTAAGTACCTAGTAGTTTAGATAAAATACAATGGGGGCCAAGAAGAACTGGGGATACATACAGGGAGCAGGTGTGGCCCAGACCCAGCTGATGCGTTATCTATAGAGGAAGGTGGGCCCATCATGACCACATCTTCTGATTTTAAACAGTCAGGCATCTGGAATTTTACAAGGAATTTCCTTGATGTTGAATACACCACACACTAATCTGATTTTGTTTAATATCAAAGCACAAACAAAACACATGCGCATGCTAGGTTCACCTGTGACCACTGGACTGCTAGTACCGGATTAAGTGAACAGGTGGACTTTACTCTGCCATTAGGTTCTACAGTGTTGAATAAAAAACTAACTAGCTTTCACATTCTGAAACCATCGCACTGCGTAACACCTCTTTGAAATGATCTTGAGAGACACAAAAATCCAGATTGACTGAAAAAAACAAAGATAACTTGTCTTCATGCTCGTCTCCCCACTCTACAACTACTGAGAAGTCCCAACATTTGGCTGAAACAAATATTCCACAAGAACCAAGTCAAAGGAAAGAAGCTTAGCTGGCAAATTCTCCTATTTTACATGGTATGATGACATTTCCTGAAATGCTAAGCAAAGGTCAAAGCCCCTAACCCTTTTGATTGGAAGAAATCTTCTAGGACATTTAAATTCATACAGTCTATATAATGGCACAGCTAATGCTGTTGCTTAGGAATTCCCAGCCTTACGCAGTGCATTTCGCTGTCAATGAAGCAGTAAGAGTCCCCTGTTTGGTTTACAACTGAGTGATCACTGATTGAATAATGTGGTGTATATAACTTCATGTTTCTGGAACTCTAATTTTCTACCTTGAATAAAGTAATTTATTGAGTAAATTTTTCCGGACCCTTTCAGCCAGAAAGATACTAAGAATATACAGAAAGTGTCAAAAATTATGTAGCACTGCAACCCACTGCACTGTGGTGGGCCCAGAGGGATGACTACTAGCTCTGTCATAACAACCTCTGTCTCTGTTTGTCTCTATCTCTCTCTCTCTGTCTCTGCCCTCTGTCTCTCTGTCTCTGTCTCTTTATCTGCCTGTTGTTCTCCCTCTCTATCTCTCCCTCCCTCTTTCCCTCCCTCCCCAAGGAAGCATTTTCTTTCATAACTCAGAATGATATAACCATTTGAGCATTAAGGGGAAATGATAGCTAAAATTAGCATCTTAAAAAATAAGCTACACAATCATTGAAAATGAGATTTTCTTAAAACTGGAACAATGAGATATGATGATAGCTGTCATAAGATAGGAAATTACAGGAGTCAGTTTGAAAGGATTTGGGGTATCCTCCCCCCCATTTAGATTTGCTTTTCCACATACCACCAGTAAGGCTGCAAAGCTAAATATTTCCCCCCGGGCCTTTTCGATCTGCTCCTCACCGTGCTGCTGCTGACATTAGGAGAGTGTCATTCAGCCCCAAATTAAAAGCTTCCTACACAGAGATGTAAAATATGCATCAGGCTCCATGTCATCATCTTTCTCACATTTGCAAATCGCTTTTCAGTTTGCAAGTCATTCTCAATACATACTTTCATCTATTGTCTAAAGACAGCCCTATGTGTAGAGTCTGTATATCATCATATAATCTCTCTTAGAAGAATTTAAACTTATGACTCTGAACTTGGATGCAAAGAAATAATCATCATTTGTTTGCCACTGGAAAGTTCAGGGAGTCTTCAGTTTTTCAAATTAAGGAATGACCTGCTGGATGGTATAGCGGAAGGAAAGAGAAAGGGGGATCAAATCTCATCTTGTCCTTAACCTGATGGGCAAATATGAACAAATCATCTTAACTGACCACATCTCACTTCACTCAATCACTGAACGGAGAAAACTACCTATCCTACCACCTTCATAGGGCAGTTACGATGAAACTCCGTATGTCAATTGACTTTATCAGCTGAAAAATACTGATCTAAAACCTACCAATCCTGAGCAGTAACAAAGAATGGAGGAATCCCACACTCATGCAAAACTATGAGCCTAGATCCAATTTGCAAATCCTTGCTAGAGGTGACCAGAAACCCAGCCTAGAGACAGGACCAATCAGGTCATAGAGAGACAGCCTATTCCTGCAGAATGAGCAACAAGCCACCTGATCTTACCTAAGAAGGCTATAGCTGGTCCCCAAGGGTCTTCTTTCTGTTCAGAACAAAGAGATGTCCACCACAAATAGTGACCAGTGGAGATGTGGTTGGCTCAGAGGGAACCAAATAGGAGGAGGCCAGGCTCTGGTACTATACTCAGTCACAGCCTTGCCGTACCAAGTGGGCTGAACACCACACTGAAGTGCTCACTCTCAAACAAAGTGTTAGATAAGAGGACTGAGAATGTTTACAGGGTGGAACTCAACCTGTCAGAAGCAAGGAATTGGGGTTGTGGGTGGGGACTTTCTCCTCCTGCAATGACACACCCCTCAAGAAGTCCTGGATTTTCCTGCCAAGTTCCTCCTTGATTGAGTTCTGACCTGGGTGAGCAGGACTAGTCTTCCCCACAGGCCTCCATCGTGTCTATATGGTTCCAAGAAGCTGGAAGAAGACTCATGCCTGGACCCTATTGTCCTATCGGTAATATTCTTTGTGATGATTTGACTTGTTGGATTGTCATGGTGTTAAACATCAGCACCACTTTTGTATCAGAAATGAAGTAGGCATATAGAGCATGTGTGTCTATTAAGAACAAACACACATACACATGAAACACCTTTTCAGTCTTCCCTCTACCGGATACCTGTCACATGACCTTGCTTTTATGTAAGTGTGTGTCCTGCTCACTTGCCTGAGAGTACTTTGAGGGTAATGACCATGTTCTATTCTCCCACAGAACCCCTACAACACCTGGCACATAGTAAGTAACAAATCAACACATATCGAATGAGTAAAAATCAATTAGTATCTATTTAATGGACTGTGATCTATCATTTAGTGGTTTTCAGGTTTATGAATATTTTAACCTTTGTGAATTTCTTTTCTTTTTGTATTTCATTTTGTTTTTATTGTTTTTGCTCATCTGTAAGGATGGTTGCCAGTTTTTCTTCAGTGATGTGGATAGAATTTGAAAGAAAGTACAGAGAATGAGCCCAGGGTAAGACTTGACAAAGAACAGGGACAAAAAGGAAACTGAAACTTGAGAACACATTTTTGAAACCCAAATAAGTGCATTCTACACAGAGTTGGTACATAGTCAAGCATTAACTAATCACTGGAGGAAGGGAAGGAACAGAATATGAAGTGGTAAATGTTTATATCTGAATTCCATTTTTCATCTTCCATGCTCTGTTGCATTTGGCAGATTCTGGCCACGTCAGATCATATTCATTTGATAGCTGGAGAAACCAAGGTGCACCAAGGAATTTCTGACCTGATTCTATTCTTTTAAAAAGAAACACAGCTGAAGCTCATCCTCCGAACAATGTTTTATGCAGGCATACTAAGGCATAGGAAGGCCTGAGGAGGTGCCATAGAAAATCAGGTATAACTTTGCAACTCACTTAAGGCCATTGTAGACAGGTCATGTGAGTAAACTGGCTTTTTAATGCCAAGGGACATAAGGAATATATGCTTTCACTCCTCATGTAGTTTGGTGAGCAATGACCTTGGCTGTTCTCTGACTACACAAGGACAGAAAAACAAACTAGACACTGTCTCTGGTATAAAGAGTTCAAAATATGGAACATGCGCATGAGCTAATATCACAGCATTTAGAAAAGGATGAGTCCTGAAGTCAGGATCAGAGCAAGGCCTGTGACAGTCTGGAAGAGGGATCGACTCCGGGGAGGGCACACAGAAGGAGCCAGCAGAGGGTCTGGGCTGGTAAGGAGAGCTAGGATTTCTCCAAACACAGATGGTAGAGTTAAAAGAAATGTTACCTGTGAGAGGGACTGAGCCAGTTGCCTGATCTAACTGATCCACAGCCTCCCTCCCCCCAACACAGACTTGAAGTTGTAAAGAGAATTTCGCAGCACTGGTATCCAGGTCACAGCACTCAGACTCCATGAAACTACCAGGCAGTTAGGAGTAATTGCGAGAAATACAGTCCCCGCTCAGCTTCAAGTGTCTTTACGATGGCTCAGGGTTGGAGGAAAATGAAGGGGCAGGGAGCAGAGAGGTACTGGATTCCCAGCCTGGTCACTTAAGTGTGGGAACAACTGATGCCCTGCTGTTTGAACTGTGTTATTTTAAAGAGTGAGAGACTCTGAAAAGGCATCGCTGCTTCACATGGCAGCTATCAGTGAGCGCCTTCCCAGCCCCTGCTGAGCTCCCAACACACTCCAGCTTGCAGAAACTGGGGCAGGAGACACGGTACCTCCAGCAGGAGTACAAGCAGCACAAAGAACACCACAGGGAACACCTGGCACTCATCCCAGGCCTGCCACTTGCTGGCATCAACAGCAAAGAGCTCTTAGCCTATCTTGAAACTCAGTTGCTTCTTCAGTACAGTGGAATTATAATACAGATGACACCCACTTTCCCGGCTGTTGAGAAAGCAAATGAGATCCTGGAGGCACTAAGAACTCTGTAAATTCTAAGCATTGACATGAATATGAAGCATTCTTATTCAGAACACAAGACTACATGTAGGAATCTACCTCATGCCTCCTATTTCCAGTCATATCAAAGGAAATGCACAGATATCCTGGTGTTTGATACATCCAACCATCAAGGAGCAAACAATCACAGAACAGGTTTACTAGGTAGGCACTTAGCCATAATTATTTAATGTCTTGTCTCTTTTCTCTCTTCTATGACGTCTTTTACAAATTATCCTCTTTTTCCCTCCCCTTCAATCCTAGTATCACTGCAGAAGAATGTAGATGGTTATTATTTGGGTTAGGAAGCCCTCATTGACTAGACCTCCTCCCTACTGCCATAATTCACATTTGGTCAGAGTGACAACACAGGTATCCCTTTCTCTGGACCCACCAAGGCTGTTCTTCTACTGCCTGTGTCAGCAGATGGATAGGAGGACACACAAGTGACATGGACAATAATCAGACATGAACCAGCCCCACCTCATCCTCCAGTCTTTCTTCTCCTACTGGATCATACAAAGAAGGATTGGTGCCTAGAAAGGCATCGCCAAGGGTACCTAGGACCTGTCTACAAAAATAGCACAGCCCAGCTCCCGAGCTATACCCTTTTTCCCAGGATTCTTTGGGAAATAAGAGTTCAGAGACGATGAATGGATACTGGCAGTAAGTTTGAGGGCAAATAGGAACATGCAGGCAAGTCATCAAGTGAGAAATTTAAGCAATATCAATGTCTTCTTCTCTTGAGTTTCAGTAGTATACAATTTCACTAGTATTACATTCCAGTATAATTATCCTTCTGGGCTTGTATATATCTGTCTCCCCTCTTTAAAGGCAGAGGCCTTACACCTCCTATTTAAGGATCTAGAACCATACAATGCTAGGAGTATGTACTCAGGAAACATTGGATGGATGAAGGAATAAGCAAACAAATATCTGAACAACTCTGTTTTCTTTCACAGCCCTCTGAGACTCTGCAGCTAGAGAGGTAACAGGTTGCTAAGAGAGAAGCAGCAAGCCCCCCTTGGATTTTGTTAGGGGACTAAATTCAGCCCAAAGCATCTTTCTTCCTCTTTCTATTTACTCTGGACAATCTGTCCCTTATCAGATGAGCTCAAGGCTGGTGGGAAATGTGCATATTTTATTTGAAAATATCTGCTTCTTCCAGTTTTGTTTTGCTGCACAGACATGTGTCTGCTTTGCTGTATGTTGTGTATCAGATAGGACTCAGACAAACTGCTTTGGCTCTCTAAATTGTTTTGTTTTCTCCACTCAGTGATCATTTATCTCGTTTCCCTTTCTATATCTCACTCTTATGCATAAGCTCCAATTTAACTCACAATTAAAGAGAATAATTTCATTGTTACTCAGCTTCACCAAGAGCTAGAAGGATTATTGTCCTGGAAGTTGCAAGTCCTCCGACTTAGTTCCCATTCTACCACCAACAGTGTAACCTTCAGCAAATCACTTCTCCTATCTTGGCCTCTGTTTCTCCTTTGCAAAATAAGGTCTACTCTTGCCTCCCACAGATTTTAGGTGCATTGTGCTGAGCACCTAGTTTTAGTAACAGTTGTATAATTTTTCCCATTCTGTGTAGATGGTGAAGAAGGATCATTTTTGCCTTTGTTTCAGATGGTCTGGAATCAGTGGACCCAGAGAGTCTGCTCCTCCCTCTGTGCCCCAGATCTGTATCCCACTATCCGATCTGTCCTCACCCAGAATGGCTCTGTGGGCCCACAACCTCGGCCAGGCTCCCAGGGCCTGCATATAGTGGCTCCACACTTGATTTGCTTTGCACCATGATCCTGAAGTTTTTAATAATTTTGAACTTGAAGCCTGCATTTTCATTTTGTGCTAGCCCTTGGAAACTATATACAGTAAGAGGTTATAGGGCTACGTATTATTATTATACGGCAGTTATTCCCCTAGAGTAAAATGGAAAGAAGAAGGACTAGGAAGAAATATACAGTGGTGTAGCTTTGCCCATCATTACTGGCAGAGAAGGGCTCCACACATCTTAAGAGTCTTGCTTCGGAACGCCCTTCCTGATAAATATAAATGCAAAGAAAATACACAGTAGCAGAACGTATGCCACAGGCTCCAGCACTATCACCCTCCCTCATCTTGGGGAGATTAGGGGTCTGACTCACGGCTGGGGTGTGGCTCACCATTCCTGCCAAGCACCTGGGCTCCTCCCTGCTGGTAGGGCTCAGGAAGAAATGTGGGTTATCCTGGAGTAAATGGCACATTCAACTTCACAAGGCTGGACAGGGTTTTAGAGCAGACCTCAGACAGCTCACTTTTATTAGACAAAATCACCACCGCACCTTAGAGAAGAGATCGTCCAAGTTCACGTGCTGGGCATGCTGGTTTCTATGCTCCTGTCAGCATTAATTCTCTTTTGAATTATGTCCCCTTCTTTTTCTCCATCTTTGGGACACACAATGGTGGAAGAACTTACTTCTTTATTTTTATTTATTTATTTGCAGTATTGGGGATTGAACCCAGAACTTTCACAAAGATCTACATCCCAAGTTCCCACCCCTCTTTTTTTTCCTTTTTAAAATATGCTCTTGCTATGTCCATTTGTAACCTGGGTTGGGCTCAGATTTGCAATCCCTCAGAAAAAGGGCTGGAGTGCATACCTCACAGAGTGCTGGGATTGGTCACACAAAGTACTCCCAAGATCAGAGTAGTGAGCAGAAGATCTTGAGCTCCAATGTATGTGGTCGAAGTAGACTGCAGGTGACCCTGATCTTTTAAAACTATGGTATGATGA